CTCCATGCTTTCTTCCTTAGCACTAAGAACTCTTCAGAAATGAAGGGCTGTGTTGGGGATATAGCTCAGTTGGTAAAGTGCTTGCCTTGCATTCACAAGGCCCTGGGTTCAAATCCCCAACATCACAAAAAAGAAATGCAGAGTCACTTTAGACATACAGTCTTCCCTTAACTACCAGCACTGGGCTGAAAAAACTGGGTAAATAATGTTACATGCTGGAGACATGGAGGTGGGGGGTAAGAGGAAAAGGGAAATGTCAGGGAAAAAAAAAAAGAGAGATGTCAGGGAAAGCCTGTCTCAAAGGTGACATCTGAGCTTATATTTGTCCATCAGTCTAAAGTCTTGGAGAAGAATCTTCCGTGCCAAGGCCCTACACATGTGAAGCATGCACTATCCCACTGATTGTTATCCCCAGTCCCTAATTTGTATCTTTAAAATAATCATTCTGGTTGCAGAAGGAGATCAGATTATAGGGGTCAGAAGTGAGTGAAACCAGGAAGATTGATTAGGAGAGAGGATGGTGGCTTAGATGAGGGCAATCACAGTGGGGAAAGAGAAGCAAAGTGGAAATACTGCCTATAAGACTTGGTAAGGATGGCCTGGGGTGGGAGGTAAGAGAAAGAAGGTGATTTGGTAGTAGTCTTAAAGTTTTTACCTGAGCAATTGGGTTGATGGATACTGTTTAATGAGATAGAGAATAATAGGAAGAAGAACAGGTTGAGGGAAGAAAATTAGTAGCCATTAATTTGAGATCTCTATTAGAGATATATGGAGACTTCAGGCCAGAGATACAGATCTATATTGTTATTTTTATGGTATTTATTGGCATTTATATACTATTCAAAGCCCTTACATTAGAAAAAATCACTCAGGGAGCAAGATAAAAAAAAATGTAGATAAAGAGCCAGGCATGATGGTGCATGCCTATAATCCCAGCTACTTGGAAGTCTGAAGTGGGAGCATCACAAGTTCAAGGTCAGCCTGGGCAAATTATCAAGAGCCTGTCTTAAAATAAAAAGTGCTGGGCCAGGCACAGTGGCACACATCTGTAATCCCAGTGGCTCAGGAGGCTGAGTCAGGAAGATGGCAAGTCCAAAGTCGGTTTAGCAAGGCCCTAAGCAACTCAGTGAGACCCTGTCTCAAAATAAAAAATAAAAAGGGCTGAAAATGTGTCTCAGTGGTTAAGCATACTGGGTTCAATCCCTGCTACCAAAAATAAATAGATAGATAGATAGATAGATGAATAAAAATAAAAATAAAATGCTGGGGATATAGCTCAGTGGTAGAGCACTTTCTTAACAAGTGTGAGGCCCTGAGAGTGGTGGGTGGGAAGTGTAGATAGAGAGATGATAAGTAGGTTGACCCAACAGTCTGGTGGAGAAGTAGGAGAAACTAGTGGGCAGGAGGAAAACAGGGAGAGAGAGCACCACAGAAGCCAACAAGTGGCCAAAAGTGTCTATTAAGTCAAGGAGAAAGAAAATGGAAAAATGAAGAGCGGGAGGGGAGGCTGGGGTCAAGGAAGGGTGTACATCTTCAAACACTATAATTGTGCCTGTCTTGGGACCTATGTTTTAAATATTCCTTAGTCCACAGGCTCCCAAGGAGGACTTTGGATCAGCCCCAGGGGTTCTTTTTTTAAGATGGGGGATGCAGATTACATTTGCACACCAGTGGAGTGCTCTGCCAGAGGAAAAGGGGGAACTAATGACAGGAGGGAAAGTCCTGGAGGATGGGCTTCAAGAGTCTAAGCAAAAGAGGTGGCTGCAAGAGCAACAGGGAAGACACAGGAGCGGGTCAGGGAGGTTGGTAGACCTGGGGATGGGAAGATGGAGTTCTTGATGCACAGGGGGCGAGGCCATCGGCTGGCCCCTCCATGGCTGACATGCACTGAAGGGTTAACAGACCAGGTCCCTCAGCCTTCCCACCACCTGTTTTCACCTCCACCCTTCCCTGGGGATTAATTCTACTTTCTGTTGCATTCTCAGAGGCAGCAGGCCTCCCCCATGCCCTTCCAGCATAGGAGGTAGAATGGACACCCTCCTTCTGTCATCCTTCTAAACCAGTTATTTTTCTCCTTCTCAAAAGAAACACAAACAAAACCCAGTGCCTGGCAGTCTTTGGCACACCATGGATATTTAATATGTATTTAGTCAAAAAACAAAACAAACCCTACCTTACCCTTTTAAGGCCAGTCCACTCACCTATACCATCCACTGCCTTCTCATCACTGCCATCCAGACTCTTCTTGGTCACAGGTTTCTCCTCTACTCTGTTACCATCATCCTGGGGACTTCCCCAAGGTTTTGAAATTTGGTGTCCTCAAACTATGAGAAATTCACCTCGGCTTCTCTCACCCTCTGTTAGAACCACATCTAAGGCC